TAAACTGTTTGTCTCTTTTGTTCGTATTGTAATGTTTTTCCCTCATCCCTGTATATTTATTGGTCGACTCCTGGTTTTCCCCTACCGGGGCCTTTCTCGTTTAGGAGTCGCCAAACCCGATTGTCCGACTCCGGGACTCGGATCTTTTCACAAACGTTGCTTGTGCCAACTGAGCTAAAACGGGCCGGGTTTCGCTGGGTCCTTCTGGAAGCTTCTGGTCCACATCCGGTGGGCCCAGAGGCCAGGGCCTTCAATGGGCTTCTGGTTACCAGGCCGGGTCACTGTTACCCAGTTCTAGCCTAGGGTAGACGCGCCGCTTGCAGGCTAACCCTAGGCCTGAACCGTCACTCCGCTTTCCTAGGCATTAAATGCGGCGTCCTTTCACCTCTTGTCACCCTTCTCTTCTCCAACGAGAGGGTGACACGTGGTCGCCCTTTGGGATTCTCACCCCTTTAAATACTCGTCTTCTTCCCACTTTCTTCGAACTCTCAAAAACTCAGCGCAAGACTCTCCGATCTTCTCCGCGTTCTTTCTCCATTAGCACCCTCAGGTTGGTAATGTCTTCCTCCTCTGACTCTTCTTCTTCCCGTCGCTCGGCGGGAACCCCCGCGTCGACGTCTTCGTCTTCTTCTTCTTCTTCCAGTCCTCGCCGTATGGAGATTCCGTCAAGTCTCCCCTCGGCGTCTCCTTCTCAACCGACCCCCTCTTCTTCGAGGGCGGTTACTCCTCTGAGCCCGGCGCCTCTCATGACGGTGGCGGCTCTTCCTGATGGTGCTGGACGACCGCGAGGCATGTTCGACTCCATCGTCCGGCCGGAAGGGCGTCCGTCGCAAATCTCTGCGGCGGACCTAGAAATGGCCCGCTTCCTTCTTGGGCCTTCGGCCCTCGTCATCGCTCCAGAAAACCGGCATATTTATGACCCGCCGGAGGGCTGCGTGGGTATTCACCTGCACTCGGTTGCCTTTGGCTTCCGAGTGCCTCCGTGTCTGTTCCTCTCCCTTTTCTACCGCCATTACAACCTCGTTCCGGGTCAGTTAGTACCCAACTCTCACCGTCTTCTCACCTGCTTCATCAACCTCTGCCATTGGTGGCTTTGTGAGTCGGATCTAGACCTTTTCCGGTATCTGTTCACCGTGAATATGGTCGGCTCACACTCGCTGGGCTTCGTCCAAGTTGCCGCCCGTCCTGGGCGACAGCTCTTCGAGGGTCTTTCCGACTCCATTAAGGACTGGAAGCCCTTTAATTTTTTCGTTCGTCCTTCTTTCTCTTCTTTCACCTTTCCGACCCTGTGGCCGGCCGCTCTGTTCAAGCCCTGCTCTCGGCGCGTCGTCTTCACCCAAGATGCGATCCAGGGTGGCGAGTTCTTGAAGAGCTGGGGGTCGTACTCCGTTAAGTACTGGTCTCGGGTCCAAGCCATGGCAAAACGGGGCTTGCTGCTAGACGGCGCGACCACCTTAGGTAGTTCTCCAATGTCCTTCTTTTTCCTGTTTTCCTCTGTGCCTTTTTGCTCCGACTAGGAGTACTTACACTTTTCCTTCCTTTCACAGGTCCTTACGACTCCGACTCCACCAGTTCCGACAAAGCCACTGCTCCCACTCCAGAGATGGCTGACAGAGCTGAAAAGATGAGGCGTCGGCTATCTCAACGCGCCTCGGGCGCCGCTGCTGCTTCCTCGTCTCTCCCTTCTTCGGCCTCGAGGTCGACTCCTCCACCACCACGAACCGTGGTGGACTTGACGCCCTCGCCAGTCGTCTCGCCTTCTCGACTGCCGCCTCCTCCTCCATCTGAGAGCCCAAGCTCTAAGCGGCCCGTCGAGCAATCGGATGTGCCGGCTCCGAAGAGGATCCGGTTAGGCATTGAGCTGGATGAGGACGCCCAGATCTGGCAGGGCAGTTCTTCTATCCGTACTTGGGCCGACCACGTCCTTCTGCCCAAGGACGTGGAGATGACTGGTTCCATGCCTGACGAATACATCCTAGAGGCCTCGCTTCGCCAGTCATACCGCGTAAGTGTTCTAACTCGTCGTTTCTTCTTTTTTGTTCTTTTTCTTCTCTAACTTCTTCTGTCCTTGTAGAACCTCACCTTCCAGATGGAAATGAGCAGGCGACTGAGGGGGTACAAGACTGGACTGCAATCTCTTTACACTCGACTGCGCCAAACAGAGGAGGCTCGCCTGGAAGAGCAGGCTAATCATGCCAAGTCAGTGGAGGTGCATACCTCCGAGCTGTTGAGGGTTACTCGTCAGTGGGAGGAGGAACGGGACAAGGTCGCGACGATCGCCACGACTTCGGTGGAGGATTACAAGAAGTCGGCGACCTTTGAAGCGGACGTGAAGGCGGCGGTGGCGGATCGACAAAAGGAGATCGCCAAGGAGTGGCTGGCAACGCCGGAAGGAGATGACTATCTCCTAGACTTGGGGAGCGCAACTATCGTCTAGGTTTTCGCGAGGCCCAAACGGAGACTTATGCTGCCCTGCTGGCCCGCGACTCTGTCTTTACCCCCGAGAACTGGGGCCTCAAGCCAGTACTGGATCTTCTGCCGGCGACTGATGAGCCCGTGTCGACTGCAGATCCGGCAGCTCTTCCTACGACGGAACCTTCTGAGCTTACAGGGCCGCCTACCCAGGCAGAAGACCCCTCACTTGCCCTTCCTGTTGGACCAACGGCGGAAGCTCGAGTCGAGGGAGTCGATGTCGACACCCCCTCCCCCGTAGTTTAGGGTTTTCCATTTGGTAGCCCTCTTTTGTAAGGGTTGGCCCCCCTCTTAGGCCCTTTTATTAATAAAATCTTTTTTTGCTCCTTCAGACTGTCTTTATTTCTTTTCTGCTTTTAGTTCATAAGGAATAACTTAAGGCCTTGGGTTCTTCCACTTTGTTGAATTTCTGCGATCAAGGATCTAGGCCCTGACTTCGGCCCTCGCTTTCCATCTCTTCTCGCCGAGTCCCTCAGTCGAGGCGACTCCTCAGGCTCTCTCTCTTCCTAGAAATGGTTTAGGGCCAGTGCCCCTTTGTTTCTCTAATTTCTCGCCGAGTCCCTTAGTCAAGGCAACTCCCTTTAGCTCTTTCACAAAAACGACTAAGGGTCTGGGCCCTTGTTTCCCATCTCCTCTCGCCGAGTCCCTCAGTCGAGGTGACTCCATAGGCTTTTTCTTTCCTTAAAACGGTTTAGGGTCAGTGCCCCATTGTTTCTTTAATTCTTGCCGAGTCCCTCAGTCGAGGAGACTCCTTTTGGCTTTTTCACGGAAACGACTAAGGGTCTGGGCCCTTGTTTCCCATCTCTTCTCGCCGAGTCCCTCAGTCGAGGCGACTCCTTAAGCTTTTTCTTTCCTTAGAAACGGTTTAGGGTCAGTGCCCCGTTGTTTCTCTAATTTCTCGCCGAGTCCCTCAGTCGAGGCAACTCCCTTTAGCTCTTTCACGGAAACGACTAAGGGTCTGGGCCTTTGTTTCCCATCTCTTCTCGCCGAGTCCCTAAGTCGAGGCGACTCCTTAGGCTTTTTCTTTCCTTAGAAATGGTTTAGGGTCAGTGCCTCGTTGTTTCTTTAATTTCTTGCCGAGCCCCTCAGTCAAGGCGACTCCTTTTGGCTTTTTCACGGAAACGACTAAGGGTCTGGGCCCTTGTTTCCCATCTCTTCTCGCCAAGTCCCTCAGTCGAGGCGACTCCTTAGGCTTTTTCTTTCCTTAGAAAAGGTTTAGGGTCAGTGCCCCGTTGTTTCTTTAATTTCTTGCTGAGTCCCTCAGTCGAGGCGACTCCTTTTGGCTTTTTCACGGAAACGACTAAGGGTCTAGGCCCTTGTTTTCCATCTTTTCTCGCCGAGTCCCTCAGTCGAGGCGACTCCTTAGACTTTTTCTTTCCTTAGAAACGGTTTAGGGTCAATGCCCCGTTGTTTCTTTAATTTCTTGCCGAGTCCCTCAGTCGAGGCGACTCTTTAGGCTTTTTCTTTCCTTAGAAACGGTTTAGGTTCAGTGCCCTGTTGTTTCTTTAATTTCTTGCCGAGTCCCTCAGTCGAGGCGACTCCTTTTGGCTTTTTCACGGAAACGACTAAGGGTCTGGGCCCTTGTTTCCTATCTCTTCTTGCCGAACGGAAGGCGTTAATCGGTAATAACTGGTGTTCTTTTATTTAAGTTTAGAAATTCGGATACTCGTACACGGCTAACCTTTTATTGGTAAAACTTTTTCAAGTGGATGACATTCCAGATTCGGTCCACGGGCTTTCCCTCTAGGGTCTCCAGCTTGTAGGTACCGGCTTGGACCACGGCTGCAATGCGATACGGTCCTTCCCATTTGATCGCGAATTTACCCCCTTCCGTAGGCTGACTCGCCTGTCGGTCCCATAACACGAGATCGCCGACCTGAAAGGTTCGTGGGCGAATCCTTCGATCACGATACCTCTTCATGGCTTGCTGATATTCCACCATCCGGGCGTGTGCGGCCTCCCTTCTTTCCTCCAGGAAGTTCTTCTCAATTTTAAGGCTCTCCTCATTCTCCTCATCAGAATAGTTGCGGACTCGGTGGGTGGGTTCCACGACTTCTATCGGAACCTTGGCTTCAAAGCCGTATGCTAGGGAAAATGGGCTTTCTCGCGTCGCCCGTCTTTGCGTAGTTCGATAAGCCCATAGGACCCGGTCGACCTCATCCGCCCAATTTCCCCCAATGTCTTCCAACTTCTTCTGAATCCCGTCCACTATGGTCCGATTTACATTTTTGACTTGTCTGTTGGCCTGGGGGTACGCGACGGATACCTTGGTGTGTCGTATACTATGCCAGCGACAGAAGTCGGCGAAGGCTTGGCAGTCAAACTGTCTGCCGTTATCGCTAACTACGTGCTCGGGCAGGCCGAAACGGCAAATCACCTTCTTCTACAGGAAGCGTCGACACTAGTACTCGGTGATGGTGGCCAGTGGCTCGGCCTCAACCCATTTAGTGAAGTAATCGATGGCCACCACGCAGAATTTCAGGCTTCCCGGGGCGACTGGTAACGGTCCCAACAAGTCGATTCCCCACTTAGCAAAAGGGATGGCTGTGGTGACCGGCGTGTAGAAGGTGGCCGGCCGAGTATCCTTCTGCGAAGGCTTGGCAAATTCCGCACTTAGCTATCCACTCAATGCAATCTCGCATCATGGTTGGCCAGTAGTATCCCTGGACGACTAGTTTCCGGGCGAGAGTGTGGGCTCCCTGGTGGGCGGCGCAGATCCCTCGGTGCACTTCATCCATTATCCTCTCGGCTTCGGGCCTGAGTAGGCACTTCAAGAGGGGGCCTCCGAATGACCGCTTGTACATTTGCCCGTCAATGATCTGGAATGAAGGGGCTTTTCGTCGAATCCTTGCGGCGACTCCTTGGTCATCTGGCAACTCGCCCGTTTCCTTAAACCGCCTGATGTCTTCTATCCAAAACATCTCGGGGTTTTTCTCTCGATCACATTCCTCGATAATTACCTGTTGGACCTCCAACGGCGTCTCCTCTATACTTGGACGACTTAATTCTTCCTTTTGGCAAATCTTGGCGAGGTGATCTGGTATTCCCTCTAAGGCGATTTTTGATAACATGTCGGCCTCGATGTTGTCCGCCCGAGAGATATGCTCTATTTCATATGTTTCGAATTCCTTCAGCATTTCTATCACCTTCTCCTTATACTGGGTCATCCGGGCGTTCTTAGCTTCGCAGGTGCCGGAGATTTGTCCGGCCACTAACCGGGAGTCAGTTTTGATTCGCAATCGTTCTACTCCCAGCGTTTTGGCGAGTCGAAGGCCGCCCAACATAGCCTGATACTCAGCTTCATTATTAGATGTCGGGAACAAATAGCTCAGGGCGTAGTAGAGTCAGAATCCCTCTAGAGTGATTAACATGACTCCGCCTCCACAGTGTTGTCGACTTGCCGCTCCATCCGCGTGCATCTCCCACCACTCGCCTGAACTATCTTCCGTGGTGTGCTCTTTCTCTTCTTCCCCTGTCGTACACTCGACCAAGAAATCGGCCAAGGCTTGCCCTTTTATGGACGGTCGCGGTTGATACTCAATCTCGTACTGGGTTAATTCCACGGCCCATTTCACCAGTCGACCTGACGACGCGGGGTTCCGCAGTACGCTCCCTAGAGGTTGGTCGGTCAGTACCCGGACGGTATGGGCTTGGAAATAGGGCGCTAACCTGCGCACGATGATTACTAGCGCGTAGACAATTTTTTCCAAAGCCGTGTACCGTGTCTCGGCGGCCTTCAAGGAGCGGCTTACGTAATACACCGGGTGCTGGGTACGCTCTTCTTCCCGGACCAGTACCGAGTTTACCGCCTTGGGGGAGGCGGCCAAGTACAAAAACAATGGCTCACCCACCCGTGGGGTGGACAACACCGGAGGTGTGGAAAGATACTGTTTCAGCTCTTCGAACGACTGTTGGCACTCGGTCGTCCAGGCAAAGCCTTCCTTCTTCTTCATAGCCTCGAAGAATGGTATAGTCTTATCCGCCGCCTTGGTCAGGAAGCGGCTGAGGGCAGCCAGTCGACCAGTCAACCGTTGTAAATCTTTGACAGTGCTGGGAGGCTGCATATCGATGATGGCCTGGACCTTCTTAGGGTTGGGCTCGATGCCTCGTTTGGTCACCATGTATCCTAAGAACTTCCCACCTTGCCCCGCGAAGGCACATTTCTTCAGGTTTAGTCGGAGATTATACCTTAGCATCACTTGGAAGCAGTCGGCCAAATCTTCCGCGTGTTTGGCCTCTTCTCGGCTTTTGACTAACATGTCGTCTACGTAGGCCGCCATGGACTTCCCCAGCAGGTCTTGGAATAGCCGGGCTACCATCCGAGTGTAAGTAGCCCCAGCATTCGTGAGTCCGAAGGGCATAACTCGGTAACAATATACCCCGTCTGGTGTAAGGAACGCGGTTTTCTCCTCGTCAGCCGGGTGCATGAAAATCTGATGATACCCCCTAAAGGCGTCCATGAAGCTCAGCAGAGCCGACCCTGCTGTCTCGTCAACCAGCTGATCGATCTGTGGCAAGGGGAACGGATCCTTTGGGCAGGCTTTGTTAAGATCAGTGTAATCCACGCACATCCGCCAGGCTGGGGGTTTCGGTACGAGGACTACGTTCGCCAACCACTCCGGGTATTTAACCTCTCGGATGTGGCCCGCGGCTAGCAGCGTGCCCACCTCTTTCTTTACGAATTCCCTTCGGTCGTTGGCGAGATACCGCTTTTTCTGTGCGACCGGCCGATGGTCCGAATCCACGGCGAGTCGATGGGCGATGATGGACCGGTCGACACCTGGCATATCCTCTGGCCCCCAGGCAAAGACTAGCCGGTGCTCTCGGAGTACTTTGATAATTTCCTCTCGAATCTCCTCAGGGAGACCGACCCCAATTCTGACCCGCCTGTCCGGCCGTCCAGGGTCGATCTCGACTTCTTCCAATACCACGGTTGGCTCCGGGCGAGGTATCATTGCTTTCTTTGGGGGCCTTTCCGTGATTTCGTAGACTTGCATTTCACGCTTGCCCATCCCCCTGCAGGCCTGTAGATAGCAGTCGCGGGCGACTCTTCTATCGCAACGTACCGTGCCTATCCCGCTCGGTGTGCGGAATTTCAGGCAGAGGTGCTCGATGGAGATCAGTGCTCCTAGATCCTCCAGGCTTGGTCGGTCAAGTATAGCATTGTGTGAGCAGACTAAGTCTACCACGATGAATTTCATGTTGAGCTTCTGTACGTCGGGATAGCTGCCGACTTCCACCGGTAAGGTAATGGATCCCTCTGCCTCCACCGAGTCTCCGGTGAAACCGACGAGTGGTGTCTTGACTAGATTCAGCTGTTCTCAGGTTAATCCCATTTTTGTGAAAGTATCAAGGTATAGCACGTTGACACTGCTCCCGGTGTCGACCAGGATTCGTCGAATGACTACCCCATTTACGTCCATCTCTATGACCAGGGCATCTCGATGTGGTGTCTCCCCCGTGGGTAGGTCTTTGTCAGTGAACATGATGGGCTCCCGGCACACTTTGTTCGAACCTTCTTCGCGCCCGTATACTGTACCGACATACAACTGTCGAGCCCAGGCCTTTCTGGTGTTCGCCGAGTCGCCCCCTTCTGGCCCGCCGACTATCATGTTAATAACCGGCTTCTGACGCCATTGGGCCTCATCTTCCTCAGTCACGGGCTGCTTGCCGCGGCTGCTCTCGGCGGCGACTGCGAGGTCACTGTCCTCCCGTGCCGCCGACCTCCGCCTCCACTGATTAGGAGGCGGGGTCCCTTGTTGGATGATTCCTTCCATGATCTTTTTCAAGTAGAAGCACTCTTCCGTGTTGTGAGTGTAAGATTTGTGATAGCGGCAGTACTTAGAGTTCTTACCTGTCTCTCCGTTAGTCACGCGGTATAGGGGGCGGAGGTGGAGCGACCGCTTATAACTGCCCGGATCGCAAGGACTCGATGAAGAAAGTGAGTGCGGTCTGGTCTTCGACCTCCTCGATAGACTGGATCTCATTTTGCCATCGAACCAAGTAGGTTTTCAAGGATCACCTTCTTCTTGGTGGACGTCTCCCAGATGGGTCAAATCCTTCTGTGGTTTGATGTTGGCCACATAATGGCTCATGAAGCGATCGGCCAGCTCCTCGAAATTGTGAATCGATCCTGGAGGCTGCGCCACCAACCATCTTTGTGCCGAGCCTTTTAGCGTGGGCAAGAAGGCGCGACACATTACCGGGTCTCGGACTCCTAAGACTTGCATCTTGGCCTGATAACTGAGCAGATGCTCGCGTGGGACTCCGGACCCGTCAAAGGTGGCCTGTTCCGGGAATTTGAAGTCACCGGGCACTTTATAAGACATGATCTAGGAGGAGAATGGCAAAGCAGTGAGCAACGTTTGCCCGGGGGATTTATTCCTTCCCCCCATTTGTTCCTTCAGATCTCGTACCTCTCGGGCCAATTGGGCCACATCGCCTCTATGGCGAGTATGATTCCCTGTGGATTCGGTACTCTCGCCGACTTCCGATTCAGCTGGTCGGTCATCATTGCGCGTGAGGCGCTCGGTCCGTCGTGCCCGAGTCCTGGTTCTCCTGGTGCGAGTTCTTCCGTGACCGGCTTCTTGATCTCGGGGGCCTGCCTGTGCGCGGCTGGGCTCCCTCTCCCCTAGTCGTTCTCGTGCAGATTGTCGTCCGGCGTTTGGACCCAGCCTGGAGTGAACCGATCGTACTGGCTGACTCTCGGCCCGTCGGTTCTCTCGTCTATCTTCCGGCCTCTGGGAAGGTTGCTGATGGCGAGGCATCGGTCGAGAGACCGACTGCTCCCTCACTCCTCGACTTGCATCAGCGAAGGCTCGTCCGATCGCGTGGAGTTGCTCCGAGGTGAGGGGTATCATGGGTGGCTGCCGGTTCACCGGTGCCGTTTCGTTTTCCTGACTTTGAGCGTTTCGTTGGTTCAACTGATCTCTCATATCTGCTTCCACTCCATTATCGCGGTTATTCGCTTGGTCTCGTCCTTCTGACATGCTTGTAACGCTTTTTTGGTTGACTTCGAGACTCGCCCCACTCAAAGAGTTACGCAGCTCTTTGTATCGATCCCCACAGACGGCGCCAGTGTTGGTTTTTGGGTTTTCGGACCCAAGGAGGTCCAACACAACCTTTGGTTGGTAGATTCACCTTTCACAAAATGACAGCAAAGGGAAGAGTAGTCGAATAGTAGCTAAAAGGTGTGTCTCTTATTCACTCGGCATGGACTCGCCTCCTCATTACAAGGGTGGAGAGGCCCTTATATAGTAAGCTCCTCTCCGTCCGACTTGAAGGACATTAATCATTGTTTTTAAGGCTAATTACAATTACTAAGCAGTTGGGCGCCGTTACCGGACTGGCCAACGGCTCTATGGACTCATAACCGCCTGCCTGACCGAGTCGTGCTTTGAATGCCCCCAACGGCTCCTGGACCGACTTAAAAGCTACGCTGGAACGCCTTTCAACGGCTCTCTGGGCCGAGTCTTCTTAAATGAGGTTCTTCAATGTTCCTTAACGGCTCAGGGTCGAGTCTCTATCCGTGCTCGGGCCTGGGCCGACTGCTGGACTCGGCTCAAGCTTTCCACTGACTTCTTTCGCTACTGGCCCACATCTTTTTTCTTGGACTCCTCTCTTGGGCCCATCTTCTTAGGCCGGGGTTCTCACCCCATCAACTTTTATATATATATATATATATATATATATATATATATATATATATATATATATATATATATATATATATATATATATATGTGTGTGTGTGTGTGTGTGTGTGTGTGTGTGTGTGTGTGTGTGTGTGTGCGCGCGTGTGCGTGCGTGCGTGCGTGCGTGTATAAATAAATAAATATATATTTATATATATACACGTGTGTGTGTATATATATATATATATATATATATATATATATATATATATATATATATATATATATATATATATATATATATATACACGGAGCCAGGAATTCTATTGAGTGGGGGCGAAATATGGACGGATTCAAAAAAAAATTTCAGTAAAGGCAAAACATTAGAATAAAAGAGATATTTATAAAAAAAAAAAAAATTACCTAAAAAATATAGGTGTAAATATTATTGGATATGGGCAAAAAATAAAACATATCGAAACTTTATAAAATTATTTATAACAAAATATGAAACATAATAAATCAATAAAATAATTTGAATATATATATATATATATATATATATATATATATATATGTGTGTGTGTGTGTGTGTGTGTGTGTGTGTGTGTGTGTGTGTGTGTGTGTGTGTGTGTGTGTGTGTGTATCAAATATTTAAAAAAGCTATTAAAACGTGACTGTTTTAAAGCCATAGGGAAAGAACCAAAAAATTTTTTTGTAAAACTATAGGATTCAAACCCCTAACCTTTATTTATTTAGGAATAAGGTTCAAATTGGCCACTGAACGTAACCTGAAAATGCAATTAGGCCACTGAACGAAAAAAAAGTGCAATTAGGCCATTGAACACTCAAAAAATGTGCAATTAGGCCACTGGACTCTCCAAACGTATGCAATTTTACCGGATAGCAGGTTACCATCAATTTTAGCAGGTTACCTGCTTACGTGGCAGCTAAGTTGGCATTTTTAATAATTTTTAAATAATTTTTAATAATTAATTTTAATAATAAATTTTATAAAAAATTGAAAAAAAATTAAATAAAAAATAAAATAAAGTCGTTTTTATTTTTTAAAAATTTTTTTTAATAAAAATTTATTATTAAAATTTATTAAAAATTAATTAAAATTTATTTAAAATGCCAACTCAGCTGCCATGTAAGCAGATAACATGCTAAAATTGAGGGTAACCTGCTATCAGGTGAAATTGCACATTTTTGGAGTGTTCAGTGGCCTAATTGCACTTTTTTTTCGTTCAGTGGCCTAATTGCATTTTTAGGTTACGTTCAGTGGCCAATTTGAACCTTATTCCATTTATTTATAACCAAATGCTTGCTCTACCAACTAATCTAACTCATTTTTTTATTAATAATTAACAGTTTTTATATACTAATACTCAAAAATGTACTATATATACATATATATATATATATACAAAAATTATATATGGGGTGGGGGTCGGAGTGAGGTGAGAGGGGCAGCTGACCCCCCTGCCCCACCTTTGGCTCCGTCTATATATATATATATATATATATATATATATATATATATATATATATATATATATATATATGTATATAGTTGCATTCACATGCAAACACTCTTAAAATACAAACGTGTGGACAATCTGAGGCCCTAAGATTAGATTTATGGATGACTTAGATTTACACAGATAATAGAAAATAATAAAGGTGTTTGATTGAAAATAAGGGTAATACTGGAAAATCATGCATTGGATAATTATGGAATTTATTTGTTAATTATATTTTCCACGATTAGAGGACTTGTAATTTAAGACAGATTGAACAATACAATTGCAATTTAGGAAGGATTCAACCATGCGTAATTTATGAAAGATTCAATAGTGCAATTGTAATTTAGGAAAGATTCAATAGTGCAATTGTAATTTAGGAAGGATTCAATAATGCACACATGTGTCTCAGCAAAGATAGGGTGTCATGACTATGACGCACACAGGTATGATTTGGAGTGCACGCATGGATGAAAGAACAAAAATCGTCTTGCAGTTGGCTTAGTGCACACAATTCAGTGTGTTTGTGCACACGATGTTTTTGGATTACAACATATGTGCATGAATGTGTTTCAGTGGGTGCACATGTGCCTAAATCACTTATATTGCAAAGAAAAAGGTGAAGTGTGTTACCTGTGACCGGCAAGGGCACGACAACAAGAATTGTCCTGATATAATTGAACTATCCAAGGAATAGTCTCGCAGGCTGCTTAATAGAATGTGTGATAAATTTATTTGAACTTGCATTAAATATACAACAAATGTACGAAGTTTTCCAAAGTGTGAATTTTATTTAGATATGCATGCTCATGGTTCACCAACACCGTACACACGTATAGTGTGAAATTGGAATGAATCTGTTCACTTATTATAATAATAATAATAATAATAATAATAATAATAATTATTATTATTATTATTATTATTATTATTATTATTATTATTATTATCATTATTATTATTATTTTATTGTTATTATTAGTGTAATTATTATTACAGTACCGAGCTGGTTAAGTCATTGCAAATCATATGCTTTAAAAAATGTATGCCGGCATCAAATTATTGGAAATCATCAAATTGGTCAAATAGATAATAAGGATCACACGCACATGCACTAGTGTGCACACATGAACGTCTAATCGGTAGGAATATGAGTACGAAAAGTGAATGTTATTTAGCCATGGATGCACACATATAAACAACAATGTGGACATGTCTTGTGAGTTTCATTTACTAAAAATTTAGAATAATTATACTTGTACTAGAAACGGGTACGGAGTTATTAAGGAGCACATACGCATAAACTAGACTGCACACATGAAAGTTTGCCTGGTTGGAATATTAGTACGTAAAGTGACTAATATTTGGATATGCATGCACACATAACTCTAGATTAATAATACAAATAATAGAAAGGGACACAGAGTTATTACAGAGCACACACGCATACAGTAGTGTGCACACATGATCATCTAACTACTACGAATATTATTACAGAACATGAAAGGTATTTAAATATGTGTGCACACATAGCAACGCCAATATGCACACGAGCACCCAAGTTTCCATCATCAGCACCCAACAACCAATTACAAACTACCGCCTCTTCAGGATTGT